ATGAAAGTCATTATCCTGACGTTATTTATGTTCCTACACACAAACCAAGTTATTAATGTTGTGTTATAAGAGGACCGGGACTGGATTTGGAATCATTGAACATCCAGCCACATGCTAGTTGGAGCCACTAGAATTATTCGTCATTTTAACCCATCCCTAAAGTCAGCAGGGGGCAGCTTTGAGCGCCCGGGGAGCAGTGCTCAGAGGACCTCAGTGGTAACTTAACAGCTGGTGGACTCGAACCTTCCAGACCCAAGTCCGCTTCCTTAACCACCAAGCCACCGCTGCCCTGTGTCATCAGTGTTGTGCATTAGCATCACTGCAAATGTTAAATTGAATTTCACCGAGGGTCAACATCAGCTGAAAGGCTGTAACTAGAGACTGCATACATGTAGAAACTCAATGAAGCACTGATGGATAACTGTCTCTAAACATTGGGCACTGCTGTTTTACATTTTACAAAAAGAAATCGCTGCACACTGCACAATTGCCCTGCAGGGGGCACACAGACAGGCGGTTTAATTAGAGAGAGAAAAAATTCGATTACAAGATTTCATACATTTACATTTTCTTACCTCAGCGTATACAACGCTACAGCTGTTAATTAAATGTATTATTAATTTAGCGACAACTAAAAGGGTTGTTTCATGGGCCGCGTTAAATGATTTGACGGGCCGAGTCTGGCCTGCAGGCCTTGAGTTTGATAACTAAGTTTCATTGTGTGTCTCTTCCCTGGGAGAAGATGATTAATTAAGACACTCATTACCAATCTGAAAAAAACGTTTCATAATATACTCAGTGGTTTCTTTTCAAGTTAATGTTAAATGATTTCTGATACTGTTGTGAATTTTGTCCTTTTTTTTCTACTGCATTGGTAAAAACTCATCAAGGAAACAAAAAGAAATGTGACCCCGATATGACGAAACAGACTAACAGAACAAAACTGTTTGTGTGTGTGTCTGCTGAGTGAGACCTGAGGTTTGAGGTGAAGTTTAGAGGATTAGAATGAGAGTCCGATCGGAGTTAGAGTAGTTAGAGTAAGTCGTTGTTAGGGTTAGGACGCATTATGTCGATGTGAAATACTAACAAAACAAATCATCTGTGTGTGTGTGTGTGTGTGTGTGTGTGTGTGTGGCAGCAGCTCGACACCCTGGTGTGACTGGCAGCTGCTCCTGATGGTGAAAACTGGCCACAGAACAAACACACACACACACACACACACACACACACACACACACACACAGGGACCACAAATCAATACAAACTGACCCCCGACCACAAATACAGTGAACCCACAGTTAGTTTGCTGTGTGAGTCAAATTAATCTTCACTCTCAGTGACATGACTGACATCCTCAGGCTCTACACCAGGGGCAGGAATTTAAAACTGTCTACGTTGCAGATCAGCCTTTATAAAACAGTCTAGTCCAGACAAGTACAATCATAACACAATTTACCTTTAAATGATAAAAACTCTCTTTTCCCCCTTTGTTTTCATACAAAAAAGTACACAATGAAATATAAACATTTCCTGAACATGAAGTGTTTGTGTATTATTTAATTTTCAAAATTCATCAAGGGCCGAAATTGAAACCTCGAGCGAGCCAGTTTTGGCCTGCGGGCCGTTTGTTAGCCGAAATTGAAACCCCGAGCGGGCCAGTTTTGGCCTGCGGGCCGTTTGTTGATAATCCTTGCTCTAGTTCAACAACGTTTTTCCTGCGTAAAAAAATTAAATTTATAGAAAATGTCAAAACAACTGTGAGTTGAGTGTCTCATCTCTAAACCTTATTGTCCCACCTCATTTGGCGACAATAGCGCCCCCCGCTGCCATCCTCTATTCATCATAATCTGATTGGAATTAGAGTCAGAATTAAATCAGTAAATTACTCACCATGCATACGGACATGTATTGACCACTGCATTCAACCCATACTAACACGAGTATAAACCCTTTACTGCCCACAAACACAATGTGGGCCACATAACATTATGTGAAGGGCCAAATGTGTCCCGCGGGCCTCCAGTTTGACTTATGTGCTGTACTAGGTTGTGGTCTCTGTTTACATTGAGGTGTAAACAAAAACATCATCCACCAGGTCGACCAGGAGCCAAGAGTCATGACAACAGGTGGCGCTGATGAGAATGCCAGAGTTTGAGAAGTAAAGTATAATCGCCACATAGTATAAAAATGTAACATGTACTTATCAGTATAGATACACAACATTTGAATTACGTTATGACGCTGCACTCTCCTAACAGCACTGCTGTCATCAGGACCGCTCACCTCATCTTTACCCACAGTTAAAATGACTGTGAATAATCAATGCACTCAACAATGAAAACATTTATATGCAGCCCCTCACCCAAAAAAAACACCAGTACACGCCGTACACACAGCATCAGTCAACATCGGCTTTGTCGTGTTTTTGTCGAGTGTTTGGATTTAAATAATAACAACCCTAAATCAATAATAGAATAAATAAAGATACTGTAAGTTATTTGACAAATGGGTTTGGTTCTACAGTACGTGATTGGCGTCTTGACCATTAAGAACATTTGGGGCGGGGCTAAGACTGTAAAACAGAAACACGGAGAAACGGACTGTATTCTTTACATTTGAAATCTCTTCCACACCCTGGAGTTGATAGGACCACAGGTATTTGTACCTACAAGGAAGTTGAAGTTTCCTATCAGCAGAGCACTCTTATAGGATAACGTGTTTTTCTAGAACAAACCTGAATGCCTTGGCAGTGAGAAATACATGTGGCTGCATGTATTAACAACGATGGTGTTATGAGGTGATATTTAGAAAAAAAAAAAAATTAACAATGTTGTAAAATAAGTACACTGTTTGTATAAAGTGTTTACAACTCAAATGCTGTTTTAAAAATAAAATACGTAATAGGTACATTTATAGCTTTAGTTTTGTACAAATCATTAGAAAAAAACTCATTTTATCGCGAATTAAAAATAGTATGTTATATGTGTGTGTTATTTTTTTACTTTTATTTTTATATTTTCAGATATTGGACTTCAGCTTTAGAAAAACTGTGGTTTAATTTGAGAGAATATCGCAGATAAACGTGTTTTTTCAGCTTCTAGTGACCACAGTCAGGCTCCAGCATCCAGCCCTACTCACCGGTACGAGATCTGCTTCCTGAACGCCAGTCCTCGCAATTTCTCCTCTAGGTTCTCATGCTCCATTTCGGGTAGAGTTCCGCTGAACGTGTCGCCGCAGCAGCCAACGGCAGCTCCCTCTGAGCCGGTACCGGACTCACCGGACTCTCCTCCGCCGCCGTCGGCACCCTGGGAGTCTGGACATCCGTGCTCCGTGATTTGTTGGGGGTCCATGCTGCTCCGCCGCTGGACCCCCTCCGTCCTGTCCCTGTCCCCCGGGGAGACAGCGGGCGGCAGGGACGCCGGCGGCCCGGGGGGGGGGGG